TATTCTTACTGCTGTGTAATCCATATGGGAATGTATATTTGGAAATTACCACACACACACCCTCTAAAGGGTGAATACACAGTATTGGGGTCAGTTCGAAGCACCTCTAGACCCCAGACTCCCTGCTATTCCCAGAATGATGATGTAACTACTGCTATTAGCATCTCGTATTTAAAGCCTGGATACCTAAAACCAACCAGGCAGCTACTGTGCAATATGCTATTTGGGCCACTTCCACCTCCTACATTCACACCCTTACTTCAATAAATTACGTCAATAAACAAAACAGGCACAAAAATCTGCAGCTAACAAATGAATGCTTACTGAGGTTCAGGGAGAGTTCAGCAGCCACTACAAAGGAAATCCATTAATGTAAGGTAATGTGGCTCCATTTACTGCAACTGAGTGCTGATAAGATTTCTGAGAAGTGACTTATTTTTCTTAAAAAAACAACAGTCTAATTTCTTACACCCAAAAGATCACAACTTACATACAGGGTTATACTGATATTTTTTTGTTTGTTATTTAAGTCTGACTCTGAACCAGACTGAAGTTTGGAAGTGGAATCACAAGATGTTGATATACTCTTTAATTCTTTTTACCACATCAATTCAACTTATTTGATAGTCTTGATAGAATTACAATTATTAGAGGTTTTGAAAAATGTCAGCTGTCAGCCAAGTATGTAACATTTCATGCCAACAGGTCTCTTAAGGTTATTCAAAATCAGAGATTAATTCAATCAGAGGAAGAAACAAAGGGTGGACATTTTGAGTCATTTAAATACCCTAAAATATTTGTTTACTGTAAAATAAAAATGCCAGACACTTGGTCCACAATGTTTTCTGCAGAGTGTTGCTTATCAGTATTGTATGTAGGACAGCGTTCCTCACACTCCAGTTCTGAATGAAATGACAAGTGATGGTAACATATAACTCCATGGTGAGAGCTGTCCACCAGTCTGTATAACTGTTACTTTGCTGTTCTGCACAATTGTGCTACTCTTTCCTCCTATATATTCTCAACTCTCGTAGCTGTTGTTTGCCATGATGGTGACTTGTACTTGGCTCTACAAACGCCATCCACTCATGGAATCCTTCTCCTTTCACAAACTTTATGGTTGCATATTTCCTGTCACCGTTTTTGTTATTTCGTCAGTAGCTCATCTGGACATAAGGCTTATCTTCTTTGCTCTGGTATCATCACAACGAGTGTGCTAACAAATGATAGAGACTGCCTGTTGCCTGTCTCTGCTGGTTCTTCCCTGTGATTTAAGCACGTGTTTAATGTGGTTATGCATCAAACTAGTTTAATGATATGCAAGTTTAGTTTACTGTATATTAATTTTAGAGAAGAGTTAATTTCTTTGGACAATTTTGATCTGGGTAAATTTTTGAAGGATGAACACTAGAGGAATCCTAAACTAAAAACAAGCTGGGGCCCTAGAGACAAGCTAGCAGTAGATCAGCTTGTAGCCCCCAACTTACCTAGTTTCCACACAAAAGTGCTTTATTCCAAAGGTGTATCATTAAAAATGTAACTCTCAAAAATTACTATATGAAGGAAGAATTCTACAATGTCATTTTGAGTCTTGGCCTGTAAAGTCAATACAGTAGCCTGCCATCACATTGCTCGGTGTAAAGTGACACACACATTCTAAACAAAGGTGCAGAGAATTTCCTCACAAAATGCAAAACAACTCATGATCTTTTCAATGATGGTTTGGTTAAATCAATGTATGCAGCCTTAACGGTAATATAATTTTTTTTCCGAGTCAACACAAAGTATTTTAATATAGCCACTAGGGACGTATGCGATTGCCAACTAAACAGTTATAAGTAGTCACTCTATCTAGTCGACACCTGAATTAGAAGTTACTAAAAATAAATAATTAATATTTTAAATTTTGGCCCTAAATGTTTTTCTGTGCAAACTGTAATGCAGCCACTCGCCACTGGTTTAGACTGGTGTTAGCCCCAGTTAATTGGCCATCACTGCGGCTCTCCAGCTCGGATGTAAACGAGCACAGTGAACAGCTAGCATGTTGTAGGATCAGGGTTGTCTGGCATATGAACTGGCGCAATACATAACCACATTTTGCACAGCATGTTGAAATTCACTGCTTAGGACTGTCACTTTTTCAATAAAACAACTTTAAACAAATTTTGAACATGACACAGTAATGTTTTAACACATTCAATCCTCACTACAGATTTGGCCCTAGTAATAAGTAGCAGTCCAATAACCAATTGTACCCCCTTAAAACCCAAGGCAAGCTCTTAACTTTTAATAGTCCCATTATAATGACTGGTGTGTCAGCAGACTTGATCAAACAGCAGCTGGGCCTCAAAAATGTCTGGCCACGTGCCAAGGATCATGGTGGTATGGTGGAAAGCTAAACACTGACAGGTGCTAATGATGTAACCTCTTGACCAGAATTATATGAGTATCAGGAGACCAATAAAAGAGGAAAGGGCCAAAGCACTTGAGTTTTGTTCTCTGTGATTGTTATCTATTTACTTCGACTTAATCCTATAACCTACAGGGGGATCTGCTTCAGCATCTGAAAGAACTCCCCGTTTTGGATCAAAGTCCTCATGTAAGAAATCTCTGACAAGCATCTCCTTTCACTTTTTGCATGCAAATGCAGGATTTATTAAAAAAAAAGAAATTAAACCAACATGACACAGCATCAGCTTAGTAACGATCTCATTAAAGTACCAAAGCAAACTATTTTTATAGCAACTGACACACACTCACACTCAAGCACACAGACACTTTGACCTATGAGCCACTCTGGACTACAGTGGCTGCGTAGACATGGTCTCACCCGTACAGTTTCAACACCTAATTCATTATCAGCTTCTGCAAGGCCCTGCCATTCCCAGTTAAGTAAGTGACGGGTTATAAAAAGCAGAAGAGCTGTGCATGAACACATTGGTGAGTGTCACTTACTGGAGAACACTTTAACCTTAGACCAGATCAAAAAATGAAAGTAATCACAAATTACCATTCCACATACAGTACAGTAGAAGTGTTTCTGCCGGAACGACAAAGCATAAAAATAAAAAGTACTAACTCAATGTTATTTATGTTTTACATCAGTTACTACAATTTTGGTTGTGATTTAATAATTAAAGTAATTTATAATACATTTAGAATCAGCTAATATTGTCTGAAAAGGCTTATAGTTTAATGGTTTGGATTCCACAAAATTCACGTTAAATTCTTTCTCAATAAACCACGATCTGCAAGCAGCAGGCAGCAAACTTTTGACGAAAACCATAAAGCCCAACAGACTGACTTATTGGTATAATCATGGTCTTCCTACACTTTATCCCAGATTACTTGGCAGACTACTTAAATCCTCTGTTTTATGTCACTCAGGGATTTAAAGTATGTCTGAGGGGATCCTTGACTTTTTTACTTTGCCAAAATATCGACTGTTTTAAACTCACTAAATTCAATTTAAAATCATTTAAATTATAACTCATTATAAGGACAAAGTATTCAGGGGTATCTTGAGCTATACCCAGCTAAAATAGACCCTAAATCACTGATCACAATCAAATCTCCTCTGAGCCAGTCGCTCTTCCATAAGAGCAAATGGCTCAGCAGTAAAAAGTCAGCATTGAAAAAGCTGGATCATTGAAAAAACCCTGGGGGCAAGCTGCAGGCAGTCTCTATTATCAGTGAGACTATGAGTTGGGCACACACCACTTGAGCCATGACATCAGACTCTGAAAAAGGGCAGTGAGAGGAAGACAAAGACGGGAAACACAGAGGGGCAATGGGAAACTAAGAGGGCACAAAAACACAGTCAAATTAAAAGAGCATTGTGTTTGTACAAAAAGACGAATAAAAGTGATGGGGGGGCAAGCAAACTATGAGATTAACTCCTGTAACATTCTGTACTTTCAGAAGCAAAAATGTATCACATTCTCCGATTCCCTATGGCCTGCCTTGATCCCCTTTCCTATCTCTCTGAGACATAAATACACACTCACACGGTCTCTATCAGTAAGTCTAAACTGGCAAGTGCAACTAAGTTAACGCTAACAGAGACATTCTTTCGGCCTCATTGGCCATTAATCAAGTCAAAATGCCATGATCGCAACTAAGTGTATTTAAGCCTCTGTGAGAGGTTGTTTATTGGTGTGAAAGCACACTGATTTTGACAAAATAAATACACACCACTACTTTGAATATGAATATAGATTCACAAATTGCCCTGATAGATATATGAAATTATTATTAAATGACTAAAACTTCAACTTTAGTACAAGTTTACTCGAGAACGTTATTACTAAGTTCCAAAATGTGACCAACCCTTGTGGACATCCTATTTCTGATCCATTAGGTATCAAGTATCAAACCAGTACCATTTCAGTTTTAAATAATGTTTCAGTATCAAGTGTGATACTAAACATCAAAGACCAATTTTGGTATCATGACAGCACAAGTGTAGCAGCCTCTCATGAGTCAGATAGTGACCATCTGTTGCTCGTCATATTGCATCCTTCTGTTTCACATCCTCCCCCAGACACAAGTATGCAGTCAGATAAATAGTATATTTGTTATATTTTGTGCTGCGCAAGTATTATTTTATATAGCAGTTATAGCATTTTATGATTTATTTTATGTTCTTTGTGTTGTCAGGTGTGTTTTTAATTTAATGGGGTTTTATTGTATTCTTTTATCACCACTATGTGGGACTACAGATGGAAATTAGAGTATGCTAAATCTGGTGCATCGTGCAACCATCTTATCTTTTTATTCTATAATTGACAAATGAAATTGCACACTGTCCCCGGATAAATACCATAAATTAAATACTAGATCAAATACACCATCCAATAAAACTAAACATACTCAAACACACAGGCCAGGTAGGGTCACTGTGGGAGTGGTATGAGGTTCCCGGAGTGATAATGTTACTCTTTGTGCATCTTGGACACTCCCCACACTTCCAGTTCACCCAGAATTCAAATGGCTCTTACTGATATCATCCATCACTGCTGGCTTTTTTTCCTCCTTACATCACCTATCCAGCAGCTTCCTATTCCTCACTACTCCCCGTCACATGCAGGACAACATCTGTAAAATATCAACAGATCAAGCTTTAAATTATACAGAATGCACTACTGCTGTTGCATTCAGGAATGAGAGCTACAAAGATTTTAATCTAAGCCCTCTCAGTGATAAACTGACTGTTTTAAACCTTTATATAAGCAACGAAAATGAAGAATCAATAAGGTTAAATGAACCTCTGTATTGACTAGATGCCTGTGTGAGGCAAACGCTCTCATAACACAGAGTAATGTAATATTATTAGTATTTGAATCATGAAATAAATAACTACGCAGGTCAAAATACACAATATTGTCTGACTGTGTCTTACTAGTAACAAACTGAGAGAAATACAATTTCATAAAAGCCGAACAAACCAAGCGTTACATCCTTTTTTTTTTTTTTACAGTACAGAACTGAATTTAAAACAAACAATAGGGATTAACCTCAGTATTTAGGATGTAGGTTAAACATGGATATCAAAAGTCCTGCTTAACAGGCTACTACCAAGCAGCATGTCTGTGTTATTTATTAATTTAATGCTGACACAGCTCAGTCTGCTACCAATGTTAAACAACATTTATTTTTATTCACACAGCTTGCGGTCTGAGTCTTACACATGCTCCATGCCCTGACCACATCTTTCCTTCAATACACTGGGAACATAAAGCCACTGCTTTGCACTTTAGTGGCGATATTACCGCATCCCTGATGAGCTGATTCATTTGCCTCTGGTCGCGCTTATTGCACCTGTAGTTTATTATCTCTTGCACGGCACTTTAAAATGGCATTGTAATGTTTACCTCCTCAAACAGCACGACAATGCGCTCCAGGTTACAGATACGCTGCAGATGTTTCACATTACATTTTAATGATAGTGATAACAGTGTTGTGTAGCCCACCTACCTTAAGACTAATGCTGTTTTCCTGGACTAATTCCGCAACATGTCGTCAGGTGAACGGCCTCTCTTCCACGAGAAATGACTCAAGTGCTCACTCGAGCAGAATTTGCGGCGGATCTCAAGCTAGCACTGCGTCCGTGTGATGAAACCGTACACCTGTTTTTCAACTCGCATGGATGTAGCCGGTGTCCGTCAGCTAACTGAAGGCAACTCCCTCTCTCGGCGGGGGTGGGTGAGGGGGGGGGGGGGTCACTGGGGCTCGAATAGCAATGCGGTGAAGCTGTCCTGTCCTGTTTCCCTCACGACATAAACCACCAAGGCAGAGGCGACGCGACAGAGACACAAATTGTTAAAGCATTTTCTAGTACAAGCGCCAGTCCGACAACACTAGCACCTCTCCGCCGGCTCTTAAACACACGTCTCCATCCACAAATGGGCTGAACCTGCCTCTCGTTTCCGTTTCTATCATTATTGAATGATGCCGCGGCTTCGTGCGCAAAATGGCCTCTGTGTGTGTGTGTGTGTGTGTGTTTTCATTCAGCGACAGTCGACCGCGAGCTTCTCATTGGGTCTGCGTGTAGTCATGGCAACGTTGGTAGTTCAATCAGTGCACGCAAAGGACACGCACAGCGAGTCTGGTGCTGTTCACTGCTAACAAGGAAGTGCCAGTGACACTTTTTACCTTTTTATCTACAGTGTGCACAAAAGACTGACCTCAGCAATGAGCAGCTGACAGTATGCAGGCTACAGGCTGTGTGTTAATGGTTAGAACATGATAATAATACAGGCAGGCTTAGAGAGTGATTCACAGGGCCATGCCAGGAATAAGCTACAGCTGTGTTGCCAAAATTTGTATCTAGTCTATAAGTGCTTCCCTGGCAGTATATTTTGTCATCAAACAATTTCAAGGGAAATGTTGTGCTATAATTGACAAGTAAGTTTTGGCTAGGCCTTGTTTGTGTTTTGAGTTTGCTGCCATTAGGATTAACAGTTCTAAAAAAGGAACAGCAAAAAAAGAGAAACCTCAAGTAAACCTGAATTATAGGTCAAACTAGGCAAGTTTTCATTATGCCCACAAAGAAGTGCAAGGTATGCTGATTAAGCATGCCAGGTATGTAGGTTAAACAAGCATATATAGGCTACTAATAGAGTTTATTTATTGGCTTTATGGGACAACACAGCCCCTGAAGTCCCAAATTGTAAAATATTATCTTATGGGAACAAGTAATCATCTTGTGCACACATAATTAGGCTGCTGTGGGAACTAAATAATAACTTGTACTTATTGTTATCATCTTGTGCACCAGTTAGAATGTGTGACAAGATAATAACTAATATGCACAAGAAAAATATTGTGCACACATGATAATAGTGTTTGAGCACAAACTAAGAAAAATAGGACTTGAAGAGTTCTGTATGCAAGTGAACTCCACTTATAAATAATACAAATGTGAATTATTAGTTAGTTATGTCGTGGTGTGAAAATTTAAGATGTATTTTAGCTATAGCACCAACAATGTATTGAGGTGTAATGTCAAAGTTAGTTTTTTTCTTCTACCAATATTGGTAGAAGGACTATTGCTGTGTAGATCCACCGCTAAGGATTAACACTTGTGCTGGATCTGCACAGTATTACTTTTAAGTGTCAATTTTACTGTGTAGACAAAGAGCTGACATATTTCTTTGACATCTAAATCCAATGACCTGGTGGTGTGTTAAAGTTGCCATTGGCATGATGTTGGTGTTGATGTTAAATATAACATTTTTCATTAAGCTGACATTTTTGCTGTGGTTTCTTCATCAGTTGAAGTTTTAACGTCTACAGCAAAACAAAACATGATTTTGTTATTTCCTTATGTGTTCCCTGCAACAAAGCTTAACCAGTTACCTCTGAAGCAAAATAAACTGAACCTCTACAAATTATCTCTCTCTCTCTCTCTCTCTCTCTCTCTCTCTCTCTCTCTCTCTCTCTCTCTCTCTCTTTCTCTCTCTCGCTCTCTCTCTCTCTAAATTATTAACATACTGGGAGGATAGCCCTTGCTATCCTGTGACAATGGCAAAACACATGGCCTTTACACAATGTCACATTGTTTAGCCTTTATTTCAGAGGAAAGGAGGCATGATCTGTCTTGTGTTTTCATTTCTGCTGTGCTTGTATAACAGATAAACACGAAGACTAGAAAGAAATTATATCTATGGAGGTGTTGTCTTATAAATGTGAGGTCTCAGTGCAACATCACAGAGATAGATCTGCTGCCTGGGAGCGGGGAAAGGGAAAGCAAAAGCCCTATTGCTCATGAATTCATAAAGCCTTTAGAGGGCTGTTAGAGATGGTCCAGTGAATTGATATGGATTCAGTCACAAAGCAAAGATGTGACTCTTTCATCTTATTAAAATTCTACTCCAGGAATGTGTCCATTCTTTTGTAAATATCAGCCAAATACAACCCTTATGATATTAAATTATAGTGTCAACTCTATGTCACCTTTTCAGCTCTATGGCATTGACATTAGCTTTCTAAATAGCCTCCACAAAGCTGTAACATCAGCAGCAGCACTTCTTGGACTGCAAGTTTTAAAACCACATGCATTTAATTGAAATGATAAACAACCTTTTTGATAATTCATCTAAAAAAATGCACTGATTTAATCTAGCATATTGATTACATGTTTATTAATTAAAGTAGGCCACAATCTATCATCTAGAAATTGAGATTGATTTTCATATGTTCTATTGTGTTGATGTTGATACAGTATAGTGAATACTTTTCAATGTTGTAAGCTGCAAGTGATAAGAAATGTCTTTGGTTGTGGATAATCAACATGTCATTCAAAATAAATAGAATAACTAAATTCACATTTTCAACAAATAAGTTATAACTATTCACCTGTTGTAAAGTCGCTGTGTTATTTTGTTGTTAACACAGACATAAAGTGCCCTTTCTTCTGTCAACATTAAAGGTGTACAATTTTAGACAGTTATTGATAGTTGACCTTTGTGAAGTGTCACTGACACCACATCTGCGGGAGTGTGCATGTCATGGATGCATGTGTTTGGTCTTTTATCACCAGCTCTCATGTGCAGTACGGGCAGCCCTGCTGAATCTTACTGTTGTCAAGTAGGTGCCTTTTTATAGATGGTATGTTATCCACAGACATGCTCTTAACAATCCATTGTGACAGGGCCAGGCCGGATGATGACAATACATTATGCCCGGTGTGCACTGCAGTGGTCATCTGGTGATACAGATGCAAACAAACTACGGTAAAGGGTGAAGCTTTGACACTGCAGCACATTAACAATACCATTATGTTTGCATATGAAGCTTTTCAGATTAGTTTATTAGTGGTTAGTCTCTCACACGTCTGATGGAACAGATCAGTCCATTTTCTATGAAGTACAGCTCCCAATTTTTCTGGCGCTGTAGTGCCTAACCATGATCCAAAGTTAAATATTTACATTTCAAAACTACCCTCTCACATTTTTGTGCAAAATGTAGTGGTGAGGTTGTCCATCCATTCTAACTGATATCTCTTCTTTTTAGGGTGTAGTAGAACCAAAGTTGTCTCCGAAAATTGCTAAATGAGAAAGTTAAAGCAAATGTTTGAATTTGTCCCCTCTGGGCTACTGTAGAAACAACAGTGTAACATGGTTTGACCCCTAGAAATCAGGCCTTATATTCTTCTGCAGATATAAAGGGCTCTTCTGAGGTAACAAAAAAAGTCTTACTGTACATTAAGATGATTATATACTATTAAAACAAAACAAAAAAATCACATTTTGGGCAATGGATGACCCTTTACTTTGTACACTGGTATTAAGGGGGGCACTATTGTCTGTACTAAATGAAAAGGCAATCCATCTCTACATGGTAAAATAAAGAGAAGCATTCAGGGTATCACAAATCATGAACAAATCATGATCATGCAAAATAGTTGGACATTTCAATCAAGAGCAAAGAGATGAACCACCAGCAGAGCAACCAACAGACTTACATTTCCAAACACTGAACATACAGTTAGAGTGGGCACATGGACAATAAAGATAGCTCGGCCTCCTGGAGTGTGTCACTACATATAGACAGGAATCCTTACCAACCCCCTCCAAGAGCCAAGAATGGGCTTTAGGCTGAGGTAGTGGAGGTGCCACAACTGAGCCACATTCAACTGGAGTGTTGACATGAGTGTAATCCAGACGCTGGCCTCAGATGGGCTGAAAGCCAAACACTGATAAAAAAAAAAAAAAAAAAACTACATTCATATCATGAAGTACTGGGAATATTGCCAGACCTCCATCCAAATGCAAATCTTTAATAATGGGTCCCTTGATTTCCCTTTAAGGATGGCAATATCAGCCTTATCTCAGAGGGTTTGACATCATCAACCCTGTGTCATGCTTTTGTTGCTGTAACTTCATTCCCCACCCTCATCATGTCTGCATTTATTTAATATTCAAGCTTTAACCTATACTTCTATCACACCCCTGTGGCCTCTCTTAGAATAACCCGCAATAAGGGAGAGCAGACAGGAAAATAACTCTTTTATCTGAGCAGGGCCGCTGTCTCACATCTTTCCTGCTCTCCTAAGAGATCCACATTTGGAACAGCTGATACCGAGGTCCACTTGTCTGGCCTGTGTTAAAGTAGCAGGCTGGTGCTGGATGAGTGGCTGGTGTTATGAGTGCATGAGAACATTGTCTGGTAATGACATCATGCCACTTTCACTTACTCTCCAGACTTGCTTTGATGTCTGGGAGCTGACCAGGTAATACGTCTCAGCAAATATGTGAGAGGATAAGAGTGCTAATGTCATTGCCAGGAAAAGTGCAAGTTCAACCTTTCACTCCAGTTGTATTGGCTAGTGTTTCATGTTAATAATGTTGTTAGATTTTCTTACTTTTGCTCCATTTATTGCTGTTTTGTCAACTAGCTATCATTCAATCACCAACCACAAATTACACGCTATCTTACCCAGGCCTCTGCTTAGGGTTCAATATTAATCAAAAAGAGTAAGCCTTGCCTAGTGGAAATTGCAGCATCATCTGTCTTCATTTTGTAAATAAAAGCTGACACTGCGGTGTCATGATTGATGTCCAAGAGGCGCTGACGTAACAGAAAGGAGAAAAATGAAGATGAAGGATAACACAATAAGGAATTAACAGTGAAGGACATGGAGGATCAAAGATTCAAGATGAATAAGAGTCACAGGCTACATTCTACA